ATGTGTTTATGTGTGAGCGAAGCAAACAAGCCGAGCCAGCTCTTACAGGTAACTTAGTGATGTCACCTGATGATTAATGGGACTTTTACACAGTAGGAGCGGTTCTAATGAAGTTTTATCAGCAGAGAGGTGACACGTGAACAGTTTGGAGGAACTTGCTCGTGAGTTTCCTGCTCAAACGGGAGCAGTCGTCACAACATCAATCCTCACTGTCTCACTCACCTGTTTAGGGACTTCCCCCAGTCTTTAGAGCAGAGGCTAGGCCAGGTTAGTTTCACCTTCTGTGAGTCAGAGGGAATATAAGAATCATGGCGTCAAAGATCAAAGGTGACAGATTTTGTTTGTGTCACCAGTCAAGATGTCAGAACCATAAGGAAATTGTACTTGTATCAAGGTCATATTTCTGTGGTATCTGTGTTGCACCCTATTTGTCTGAGTGACCATACCACTTATTTTAAAAGGCTTACTTAAAGCACCAATGTGTACAATTCAGTGGCGTCTAGCTGTGCGACACATTCTCACTCCGACCTCGTCACATAACACTGCTTGGTCATGGGCTTTCCACGTCAACACATGACACGTAACGTGGCCTGGGTGTGTCAGTTTTTGATGTATTGGGACTACCGTGTCAACTTCAGCTTGTTACATGCATTGTGTGTTTTCAAAATACACTTCCGTTTTCACAGGAAATTCAACGTTTGCATACAGTCTCTTTCAAAATAAACGCACACATACGTAAAGAGTATTTGGCTTTACATTCATACGTACCGTACATACCGTTCTCCTGGGTGAAAGTCCATGATTGTTTGACCCATCCACCACTCTCCCACACACACCACTTGGACTCTTCACATCCTTAACTGACTTTGTTGTTGCTGGGCACCGTTACACACTGACGGCACCCAACTGCCTATCATTCCAACATGAAAGAACCACTTTTTTCGACTGTATCTGAAGCGTAAGTCAATATGCCCAAGTGCCAGTTTTCGATAACTTCAAATAAGACCTGGTTAAGCCTTAAGTTGAAGATGGCAAACAGCTAAACATCCCTACCCTCACCTCTCCCTTCCCAAGTGTGTAGTGGAACCTACAGTGGCCTTCAAGTAATGTAAAAATGCCAAAAGGCCCTCTCTGGAGCCAGTGTTCCCGGCTACTGTAGAAACAACAACATACTAGCCGGCTCCTTGGAAGAGGTCACACTCCTTAACAGCTCATTCTAAGCTATCAGAAACACAACAGTTCTTAGTTTCAGGTGTTTGTACATGAATAGAAGCATAATCGTGAATATTGTGTTCCATTTCTGCCAGTAGATCCCCCTAAATCCTACACCCTTGTCCTTTTTATTACTGGCATGTTATTGATAAAGGTGAATAGTTTCTCTAAGAACAAATCACTCAAATATTTCAAATGGGACTTGTAGTGTATCTGTGGGAAAGTTCAGTGGTCTCAGTGGTTTGCTATTGTTTATTTGAAACCGTATAATAGCCTAGCAGGGCTGGATTAACTCACTAGCAGGCTAAATTAGCTGTGGGCCCCTTTTGTTTGTGTTAATGTAGTTTTTTGGCACAGTGTAAATTTTGACTCAAGGACACAAGTCATTCCCAAACAAATGTGCAAGTAATCAAATTACCTGAAGGTTTGATTTTATATAGTGAAGCCCTGCTTTTTAAACTGTTAATTTCAGTATCTTCCTATGCATGGGTGCTGGAAAGAAGTGTTCCCACCATTGTTGAATCTCAAATCCAGGGGGAGCAATGGGGATTTCTTCCTGGTCATGAAAGAGTGGACCGGCTCTTGACCCTTGCAGGGTTACTAGAAGGGTTGTGGCAGTTTGCTCACTCAGTCTACATGTGTTTTGTGGACTTGGAAAAGTCTTTAGCCCTGTTTCCTGGGGAGTTCCCTGGCATGAGGGTCTGTTGCTTCGTGCCAATTAGTTCCTATACAACCAGAGTGAGACCTGTGTCTATTTTCTTGGCAGGAAATCAGACACATTTCCAATGCATGCTGGGCTCAGTCAGGGTTCTCCTCTTGTTACCAATTCTGTTCGTGATTTTCATGGATAGGATCACAAGGCGCAGCTGGGGGGATGAGAAAGTCTAGTTTTGGACCCTCAGACTTGCTTCTCTGCTCTTTGCAGATGAGGTGGTTCTGCTGGCTTGACCTTGAGTGGAGTCGCTTCCACCTTGCCTCAAAAGCAGCCAGTTGAGGTGGTTTGGGCATCTTATAAGGATGCCTCCTGGGTGCATTCCTCTGGAGGTTTTATGGGCACGTCCAACTGGTAGGGGTCACAGAGAAAGATAGGGAGATTATATAGCTCATCTAGTTTGGGAACGCCTCAGGGTCCCCTGGGAAGAGCTGGAAAATGTTGCTGGGGAGAGGGACATCCGGACTAGCTTGCTTAGCCTGCTGCCGGCGTGACCTTAGAAATGGACGATTTCAGTTTTATCACAAATTATCACAATGGCTGAATTTTAAAGGAAAGTGTGTAAGATTTGAGGACTGCAGATGCAACCAGCTGAAACTTCTCCTGATTAGAATCCTTCATGTTCAGGAGGTCTTACCAGGAGCTGAATTATCCACAGAGGTCACTTCCTCTCCAAAACAAATGGACCAGGTGAATAGAGCCAGTAAAAACACTGAATAAAGCAGTTTCACATTAAAAAACAGTGTTTCTTCTATGCTTTTTGGCATGTCCCACTACTATGTGTGTTCACCTTTTTGCTCTGATGACAGAATGTGTGCTCACCCAATTTCTGAGCCATACGTTCTAGAGGTTCTTAATGTGAGCTGAACTGTCCGTAGCAGACTCCTCCTCACCAAGACAAATGGAGCCGGTGATTTAAACTGGTTTAAAAACCAATTAAACAGTTTCAGGCTACATCTCAGTGTTTCTTTTGTATGCTGGAGACAGGCTGTTAGCCCAGCATCTACTAATGCGTTCTCCTGTTTTTTCTCTAATAACATAAGATCCAGACGTTCAGGAGGTTTTAACCAGGAGACGAATTATCCATGGAAGTCTCTTCCTCTTTAAAACTAACGTAACTGGTGACTTAAACCCGTAAAAACACCAAATAAAGCAGTTTCATGTGGAAAAAACCTATTTCTCTGACACTGCTCGCCATGTAGGGGCCTGTAACTACAGTAGCTGACGTGAACACACGAATGGCCCTATCTAGAGTCAGTTTGTGGTTTGTCCATCCTTGGGTACTGTAGAAACATGGTTGTGCAACATGGCAATCTCTATCAGCCTTATTCCTGAGGGCACTGCTGTAGAAATTATTATGTGTGCAACTTCCAATGAGATAGCAGAAGTAGCAGTAAGCTAGTTAGTCCCATAGACTGTCTGGGGAACTGCCCATTGGCTCGACAGCCCATTGGTTCGACATCCCATTGTTCCGACCATATTAAACTAACTGTTCCGAAGTCTGTTCCGAAATCATCATGATGCCCTGTGGTTAAGGTCTGGTTAGGTTTAGGCACAAAAACCACTTGGTTAGGGTCAGGAAAAGATCAGGGTGTGGGTTAAAATGAAAAAGAAAGTGACAAACACATAAGCCGTGAGCCTGCTTCGCCTCAAGCCGGTCGTGGCGCACCATACGCCCGCCGCGAGCCATTCAGCACCACGGACAGTCAGACTAATGGGATGTCGAACCAATGACATGGACCCGACTGTCTGTGGTTAGTCCCAGTGGCTACTCTTGGTGGCTAACCACCAACGCTGGTTCTTTTTCAAAGTAATTTGCCTTCAGTTTAGCAAATACTGATTTATTTTTTAACAAATATTTAACCAATGTTAACTTAGCATTTACTAAAATGTCTTCAGCAACTGTGTGTTGAACATGTAACCAGAACAAAAAGGGATTGATCCTGTTTCCAAAGGTACTGTTGATATGAGAAGTAAAACCACAAGAGTTTCAAGAGACATAGTGAAAATTATTAAATAATTAAATGTATAACAGGTGTCGTGTTCCACGTTTTATTTCCCAATTGCTTGTGGAAAGAAGAATAGAGTACTGTAAACAAACCGCTACCACTGGAAATCGTTGGTTTCGGTTCAATGCCGGAAGTCGTGCACATAATTCATGCAAGGGATCATGGGGGCCAGGAAAAAGGTGGACAGACCCGCTCCCTATGTGAATATAAACAGCCCATTCTTAGGAAATTCTTATTTTCAAGTTATATTATACACTAAATAAACCATATTATAATATATTCCATTTCTTCTAATGTATCCCCCTAAATCCTACACACTGAACCTTTAACACGGTTTGCCTTCTTGGGAACATGTGCCCTGAAATCCATGAAAATCTCATGAGGGTCTCAATATTCCATGATGACAAAAATGCATCATTCATGGCTGCTCGTGTTCCATAACTGAAGTTGTAGTTTAGATGGGACTCGCTGTGTACGTTTCACATGTATAGTTTTGTTTAAAGATATTAAGTTGCAGGTGTGTAACCGGTGTTTTAATGTTGATGTTACTGGAAATACACAATTTCCTCCTCAGTCTTCCTTGGGTTTTTCGCTGGGTGGTTCGTTTGTGTTCCAGTCGTCACAATATTCCCGACAGCGCTTGAAGGCATCATTAGTCCCTCCTCCCTTCGGCGCGCGCTGACGCGGCTGCGCGGTGCGGCGTTGCTGGTGCTGCTGGAAAGTTTGTATCACTCTTTACATTTGACCGAAGCTACCACTCGCTAATGCCACACACCACGGTACACGGACTGTTTCGGAAATTGTGCCGGTGACAGGGAGAAGGAGCGGAGCGGACATGGCAGTTGCAGTAGCTCCTCATCACCGAGCTGCCGTGCCGTGGGTCTGGGGTCAGTTTGTACTGAAGCTAAATGGAGTTTCAGCCGTTGGACACTGCGTACTGGCCTAACCAGCAGCAGCAGCAGCAGTAACAGCAGCAACTCCTCAGGAGAGACTGTTTAACATGAAGCTCCCTCTTTAACAAAAGGACAATTCTCATATCTGGGTTGGATTTATCCGTCACCACCACCATGTCTGACCAAAACTACTACTGGACCGTGTTGCCGAGCTACAAAACTAGTTTTGTGACTGGGGCCATGATGAAAAGATCAAAAAGGTAAAGACAACACAGCCTCTTTTCTCTGATAATAGACATTGTGAATATGTAGACAACAGCGATACAGTGTTGACTCCCGCGAAGGGAAAACGTCTGCTGTGTCTAGTTGTCATCAGCTCCCCGCTGTGCTGTGCCATTCACTGTCTGACAAACAGCAATTTGTTGAACGTTTATGTTGAGCTATTCGATTCACAGCACGTAAACGCAACCCCCACAGTGTTTGGTGACAGTATCAGCATACAGCTCAGACTGATAATGCCACTGTGGTATCTGTGATAGCCTGCACTACGATACTGTATGTGTCGGCTACATCCGCCCTAGTTTTTGTTTCCGACAGAGAAACGTGGCCATTGTGGAGTGTTGTGTATGGGGGCAGACTGCATTGTCTGCTACCAGCTGTCGCATAAAGCGACACAGAGTCCCAGTGCGGATCGATACGCTGATGTGGTTAGTGGGACTGGAGTGTTGTAGATGTACTTTTATCTGTGAGATAAATTTAATCAGCCCTCACAAAGCAGAGCAGTAGAATATGTCTTTCATGTCCTGCAGGGGCTTTGGCAGTCAGTGGGTTCATAGTGACATAGTATGTGTATGTACTTGCTTTATGATTATCCCCATAAATAAAGTGTGCATCTATCATAGCTGCTGTTAATGGCATACACTGCATTGTTAATAAGTAAAGTTCTGTAAAAAAAAAAACACCTCTCATTGTGTGCATGTGATATAGTTGCTCTAACTATTAACAGGCTGCCTAAGACTGTCAAACTACCCCCTTTACATGGAGACTGAACATGCATAAGTCATGCAACCCATTCAGCACAGCGTGACTTTGAATGGAGCCCAGTGGATAAATGCAGCCCTTCGCCGTCACCAGACATGTGAAACATGCAGGCCTGCATCTCAGTGGCCTACATTCATCATGCTACATGGCTTCCTGCCTGCACAGCCCCTATAAAACAATATTGTTGGTCCCAAACATGAGGAGCCTTATCACTGCCAAGTGTTGATAAAGCTCTCTCATGGTCGTGGTGTGACACAGTGATGCTTTCATGCCACTTCTTTTTTTTTAAAAAAAAATCCAGGCTCTGTTGTGTGAAAAGGGTGTTTGTTTGTTTAATTTCCGATAAGGAGAAAATGGTGCGCACTCACAGCATCATTCTATGGCTGATGTGTTGTTGAACCAAAGTCACGCATTTATTGGCTCTCCTCTCTCTCTGTTGCTGTGCCGTCTCTGCCACTTTGAGTCTTTTTGGGTTGGGGGCCATATACTGCGTGAGTCTGCCTCAGCACCGACCCAGAAACGTCAGGCTCTGTTGTTGTCTCAGCCCCTCATTATTTTGGGTCATCGCCAGAGAGAAAGAGAGATGGCATCGACATCATTTGCATGAGACAGAAAGCATGATGGGATTATATCCAGTTTAGTGGGGAATGTAGAAACAAACAAAAAAAGAAGCCCATCATTTATTCTGTTTCAAGACTTTGGCACACATAGGGTGGCACACAAAGGACGCCAGACACTATACATGCAAAAACGTACAGGAAGTGGGAAAAAATAACATTTGATCTTTAATGTAACTGCATCATAATTGCTCTGGCTTTTATGTGAATGAGTCATGCTCAGAGAAATGCCACCTAGTAGCATCTGCCAGCTTTTAAACAGGTCCGCCAGTCACGACTTTTATACGGGACTATTTCTAAGAAAAGGGTTTCCTTGAAGGTGCTCTGAAGAAGTGAGTGACAGAATTTGTAACATTGCTACTGTGCAGTTTTTGTGACAAATGCAAAAATCTAACAAAAAATATCAAATTCAACAAAACTGGTCCTATAAAGATGAGTACTGGTTGCACATTGATGCCAATCAGCTTTACAAATAACAGCCACTGATATATTTTTTGTTAGAAAAGACTTGAATCCAAAGTTGCATCAACCGTTCAACATCTGACTCTGTGCAATGGAAAAACACTCTCATTGATTTTCGTACCTATAGATCAGTTTGTGTCGGACACAGACTGTGTTCATGCATGATGATGGATCTTTAATGGTGTGGACACTATATTATGGCCTGCAGATATGTCACTGGAGTCAATCATTGGGTCTACTTGCTAGTGTGCATCGTTGTATAACAGCCAGCCACGGCTGTTTTTGTAGGATCAGGTGCTCCCACTGGTACGAGTACTTCTCTTTCCAGATGTTTCTCATATTCTCACATGAAAATGCTTCCAGACACAGAAGACATCATCGGATATCATTGATACTTTAGTGTAATACCTCACCACGTAGTCCATACCACTACTTTGGTTGATTTATTTTATGTATTTCCATTAATTGTTAACTCTTGTAGCCAGAAGTACTTTTATTTTTCATCTGCTGTTTGTCAATCTAGATTGTTTTAGTGTGAGTTGCCGATTGTTGGCGATATCAGCTGTAGAGATGTCTGCCTTCTCTCCAATATAATGGAACTTGATTTCCCTCGGCTTGTGGTGCTCAAAGCGCCGAATATATATGGCTGAAAAACCCAACAGTAATGTGTCTTTCCAGAAATGACGATCCAGTTACTCAAGATAATCCACAGACCTTGTTGTGAGCAGTTTCATGTTGGAACTATTTCTTTCTACTAAACTACACCCTCAGTGGTGCTAGGTGAGCTAGCAGTAGATGATGCATGCTTCCTTCCGTGTGGTTGATGGTTAATGAGTGTAGTTTGGTAGAAAGAAAATAGCCCCTACATGAAACTGCTCACAACAAGGTCTGTGGCTTATCTTGAGTTAACGGTTCATTTTGAGCACTGCAAGCCAAGTGACCTCTAGTTCAGATCAAGATAAGGCCGACAGAAACTCTCAGACTGTCCCTGTAAATACAAGAACATAAAAATCCAACCTGTTTTAGTGTTGACACATTAGCCAAATGTAATACACTGCGAATACTGTCTGTGTATGTGTTTATATATCAACACACACATGTTTGTAGCTATGTGTGATGTATAAACATTACCACTATCATTACAGTTATCAGTGTTTTCCTTATCACGATCAGCGACTCGGGTTCATAGGTTGAGTGTGTTTTATTTCACCTGACTGTTTACTGCTCTGATGAAAGACTGTTGCCGAGTGATTGTGCTTGTAATTGTCTTGCGTAAACAAACGTTTTCTCTCTTGTGTTTGTTTTCCTCCTCTCGCAGTTCCCGTAACAACAAGAGAAGGAGTTTGGCGGTTGGGACCCCGTCGCCCACGCTCTCACGACCTCTTTCGCCTCTCCCACTTGCCACAGGTACTGCGTTGTTTTTAGCTGCTCCACTCTGTGCGTGATATTGTCAATTAACCGAAAGGCTTGTTATTTACGTACACACGATCTCATGGAACACAGACAAGCATCTGAAGATACAATGAGGAGACATTGTGTCTTCACATGCTTGTCTGTGAAGATACAATGAGGAGACATTAGCTTTTTTGTTTAGAATAAGTGCCCTCAGCTTAATTCGGCTTTTTGATGTATGTCACAAGCCGAGCACTGGTTTCCCTCTGGTGTGTTCATGGAGTTTCCATTGCTGTTGGATCAGAGTGTGCCCACAGTATAGTGCACAAGACATACAATAGTTTTCCTCGTGATGATATTTTTTCATGTAGCTTCCCCTAGGCTACTCATTCCTTCATCCAGCTGCCGAAAATGCTCTGTGGAGACTCATTCATTCTCTGCACCATTTTTTAAGTGAGTCAGGGTGTGGTAGTGCTTTGCCCTCAGGGACTGGCATGAAAACCCTTATGTGACCCTTTCAAGAGTATGTGGTGTGATCAACAACAGGACTCCATGCTGTCTGCTGAAACTGAGATTAGGCAGGGAAGAGGCCCTTTGCGGGGGTGTTACTGTAATTAAAAGATCTGACAGTTTCAGGTTGAACTGTGAAGTAAAAGCAGAATAATCATCAAGCGTATTTCAAACTGATAATGTAAAACAAGGAGGCAGCTAGTGGAATGATTCAACACATAAATAGTTCATAATTTAAGTCTGTAACTGATTGTTTTTTGTTTCCTCAGCTGGCAGCAGCCCCTCAGAAAGCCCCAGAAATGTCTCTGCCAGCACCTCTGCCAACTTCCAGTTTGCCCGCAGGTAAGAATTACTGCGAAAACTTTTTAATATAGAGTTGTTCTAAGGCACTAGAGCTCAGCCAAATTACTCTAGTCGTATTTTCCCTACCTAATACAAAACTAGAACATTTGTCAGACTGATAAAATGCAGAGCAGATGCCGCCATAAAACAGTGGATTAAATGCATATTTTAACTTAAGAGTAGGTTCATCTTTCTTCCTACAAAGATGTGAATTTACAGAAAGATGTAAATGTCAGTATTTCCCCAGCAAGGTAAAAAGGTTCTGTATGCAACATTTAACATAGCAGCAAACCACCTATTTGATGTGTAAAGATATAGTGGAGTAATGGCATGCTAAGCAGAGAATGAAGTCATGCTCCCTCTGTGTGTGTCTGTCTGTGTGTTGTAATCCAAGCATCTCTTTAGTTTGTTATGGTAACCCGGTCCTACCGAGCTACTGTTACGTGACCCATCGGTTTGTGGACTCACATTTTGAGGCTTCGAGTTCTGCCTTTAGGTCATTGCCATCTAGGTTTTTTTGGAGCTAGAAGTGACCATATCTGGACAAGGGGTGGATGTGACTCATAGATTGTGGTGAAGCTTTGCAGACAGCCACTGAAAGCAGCCATGTCCTTAATTATGTGTAGCTTTAAGCCTTAGTAAAAGGTAAATTGAGAGTTATAAAAATTAATCACCCCCTTACAGTTGTCTTGAACACGGAAGTCAGTGATAGAGACCAAAACTATTTTTTTTGTAGCAGGCTATAAACATTTTATTTCTGCTTTAAAGTTGGGTATTTCAACACGGGGGTCTATGTTGGCCATTTCAGGAACTGCTGTTTTTGGCACTTAGTGTTGGCTCCATATCTCAGACACGGAGGGTGCCACTTGGGCTGAACGCGCATGGGAGTGCATGTGTGTATCCTATTGGTTAGCTCATCGCTGCTGCTTTGCACTGCTCTCATACGGCAGTTACAGCCGATATCAGAGCGTCGTCATAGTGGAAGCATAGCGTCCACCCTCCGGTTCCCTACTGGTTAACACCATTAGCTGTCTCAGCAACTGCCGTTGTGTAGTGCTGTTTATAGATTGATCACCATTAGCTGCCACCCACCGGCCCAGCAACCTCCATGTTGAGAACCGGGTCCAGACAGCTCATATGCTCTGGCCCCTTGAGCACCAAACCAAAAGCAAAACCTCACCAGAGCAATAATTTTCACTTATTTTAAGCCGAATAAAATAAAGACATGCTTAAAAATAACCCAGGAAGCTTGGTTTTGAAGGAAACTGAGTGGGATGAATGATGAACGTGCCTTGACTTGTTCCCCTTTGCCCCTGTAGTAGATACGAGGCAGTGAGAGGCAAGTCCAACCGGCTGAAAGGCCCCAGGGCCACTTGCTGGACGTGGGTCTTGGCATTTGTCAAGCCAATTAAGGCGGCGAGTTGGTACACACACTTCAGGGTTTGTGTGATTATGGGGAGAAATTGCAAAGCTTACCCTCTCATCATGCTTCTACGCTACTGCGTAGAGACTCGCTGGGATTTAGAGGAGTATTGGCTGGAGCTGGCATCCTCGTCCAGTAGCAGAAAATAGTGTGTTGTTGTTGACTCTTGGGAAGATTTGTGGCAAAACAACATCATGCAGGCTCATTCTGAAGGAGATGCTTAAAAATAGTGTTGTAGATATTACTAGTATACATATGCTGCTGCTTCTCACTCGCTCAATGTGCTTTAAATGTACATGCTGCTTCTCATGTGTTGTGAATTAGCATTTAATGTTGCAGTGCAGTGCATTGCACCATGAGCTGGAGGACAGAGAGGGGAAGCCTCCTGATAGAATTGCCTTGCACGAGCCTGCATGACTCATCTAAATTTATTGAGACTTTTTAAGCTGCCAGTGTGGAGACAGATGCTGTGACTGCACTTTTGAGAGCTCCAGTGGGTTTACTTGTTATTCACGCGAGCTGTATAGCCCTGCTGTTTGTGCAATTATTTTTTGCGTGTAAACACTGAAGAGCCAGACAGGCAATAGTTGGCATTCATGTAAAGAATAAATAAGTCTTTTTTAAATGCAAATAAAGGAGTAAAGTGATAAGGAACCACCTCAAGGGTGAGGCATAATCGTTTAGCTGCAGCTCCCTCTTCACTGCTAAAGATGCTTTTTTTTAACCTTGAGGTGTGTGAGGACTGCCAACACACTGGCCCACAATAGCCTTTTTTCCTCTTACTCCCCGGGCATTGATTCTAACATCGATTCAAAACCTTGTTTTTAATCTTAGCTTCTATACTCTTAAGCCTTGCAGGACTTTAACACAACAAACCTTAGTATCAGTAGTGAGGCATTTAATAACACATAGCGGAAGACATAAATATTGGATACGAACCAGATAAGGAAACCAGTGTTCCCTGTGGAACGAGAGTTCTGCTGCAAGGCACTGTGCAGCAGAGGTGCTGAGAGGACTGCAGCAAGTCCTAAACCAGGTAGTATAAAAAGAGTGTCATAAATAGAGTTTAAACTTAGTGTTGAAACTATAGTTTTTACCACTTTTTTCCTGGGATGTAGACTTTACATGTACACAGGGATTTGTGGTAGGAAAGATTTATTTATTATTAGGGCTGTCAAGTGATTAAACAAATTAATTACATGCATCAATTTTTGCTGTGAGTCAAATTAATTTTGGCAGATGTGTTGTAATAAAGCTACCGGATTTTGGACATGATTATTCCCCTGTCCTTTATCACGGAAACTGGTCTGTAGTCCATTGCAATTTATTTTGCACGGGAGGTAGTCAGTCACATGTAGACTTACTCAGTTTGCGTTTGAACACCTAGTCGAGTGTGGCTTGATGAGGCTGGCTGCTAGCGCTAGCATCAGAGGCTCGTGAGCTCGGACCTCCAGGTTTGCTGCTAAATGCTTTGCGTGGAGGTAATACTTCAGGTTTTAAGTCCTCCGATGGTACGAAACTTTCTTACTGCAGAAATTGCAGAGAACAGTGCTCCTATCAACAGCTCCATCTGGGCATTTTTTAAAATTTAAATGTTCCATTCATGGGGCCAAGCATCATCTTCTCGTCTGCCTTTGTCATGTGACAAAACCACTGTTGCCTTCAATGATGTACCAGGTTAAAGGGCATCATGGATCAGCATTAATTTTTTTAATGTGTTATTTTTTTTCTGTGATTAATTAATCGAAATAACATGTTATTTTGACAGTCCTATTTATTATTATTAGGTCTGGGTACTTAATACCTTTAAGGTATCGACTGAGATAACTGTACCAAATAGTAACCAAACTTCTTCAGTCAAACGATACCTGCATTCGATCCTTTTTTATCCAGATCTAGAAAAAAAACACTTCTTGTATGGTTTTTCTTGCAGCCAATCATAGCAAACGTTATTTGATCTAATGTGACATGTGATTGGCCCACAACCACAGCAGCTACAGCCAATATAGTCTGTGGTGTCGTGTGGTGAAGTCAAGCAATATGTATGTTTTAATTTCATTTATTTTGATTTAGCTTAGCTTAACGTAGCTTATCTTATACAGACATATATGACATTGTCAGGGATGATACAACAAAGTCCAGAACTTATTTCCATCATGGCCCCTGACAAGATGGAGACAGCCATTCATCAGCTAAAGCAGAAAATGCTCAACCACAACATGCCACATCCCAACATGACGACCCACCAACAGATATACATGCCAATATAAAACAATAACAGAACACATATGTACATTCTTAAAAAAACAACAACAACTTGATTTCAGTGTGCAAAACGACCTTGAGCTTATTTGGAGTTGCCGTCTAGCAGCCTCTGTTTGACTATTTGTCAAAGGCTTGTGGATTCAGCACCTCTTTTATTGCAAGAGGCAGTTTGTTACACCCTGTAGCACAGGCATACATAAAAGAGACTTTTATATACGAGGTTGGTTGTTCAGTGTGCTAATATGCCACCAATACGCTCAAAAGTATGGCTATAGTACAAGTCTGTGGCGTAGCATTTTATGCAACTGGATGCTTCCATTCACATGATGGGTATCGGAGTCGGTATCACCCAGCCCTATTTATTATCTTGTCAAACAGACATCTCTGGAGAGAGTTCAATCCAGGCAGCTAATAAGTACATAATGTTACTGAAATTACTGTAGATGCACAGTACACTGACATTTGTGCGAAACCTGTGCAACAGGATGTGTGATTAGATTTCAGCTCTTGATTATAAAATAGATTGGCAACTAAAGCTCGCTCTGAATTTTGGAGGTTTGGCAGAGTGTTTATTTTGATAATGTTTGAACGTACGGTACTGCCTCGGAGGGGGAGGGAGAGCGAAAGCACTCGTGGCAACGCACTGGAAAAACACACACATCTTATTCATCTGACTAATCCTCACATCTCCATCACACTCAGAGCAGAACCATCCAATTTCACTGTGTCACCCCTGATTTAGCCGCACGTCCCCAAGAGCTGGTTTGTGCGAGAAAACATTTGACCATCCTGTCATCACAGATTGAATCAGGGAGGAAAATTGGGCCATGTCCTCAGAGTGCCACACTGGGTGGAAAAGTAGGGGGACAATAGAAATGGAGGCACTGCTGCACGTGGAAGTTTCACACATAAAGGTTGAGGTGTAGTAGTGGGCTTTGTGGGTGTTTCGTGGTGTATGTGTAGGCACTGTTTATGAGTGTATCTCGTTGGCGTATATATGTGTGTGTGTGTGTGTGTGTGTGTGTGTGTGTGTAATGAGTCATGAGTCAAGTGTCTGTGGGTCTCAGTGCTGCAGTATGATGGCAGCTTGGCAGGTGTTCAGCAGCAGCAGCAGCAGCCGACTGCCACTGGTTGTGAGCTGTGACAGACAAACAGTGCTATGACTCTGACAGCCAGACTTACTCTGTCACTGTCATTAAACAGTGTTTATTTTCTTTCTCACTGTGTCTCTGCCTGTCCCTCTCTTCTCTGCCTCCTTCATATGCGTCTTCCTCTTTTTGCATCGGTGCAGCCAACTGGCCCGCACTGAAAGGTAAGAAAACGACAATCTGGTGTTTATTTCTTTTTATGACACAGTTTGAAGCATCAGATGTTATCACTTTAAGCTTGCATGGGAATATAAGCATGAAATGAGATTTGCAGGTTCTTTGAAGATTGGAGTGAGTCAACAGGATGTGTAGGTTCATATGTGATGGGGAGCCAGCACTGAGCAGTCTGTTACTGTTTTTTTTCTTTTCTGCAGAGCGGATGGGCGAAGGTGGTCTGTGGCTTCAGTTCCCTCGTCTGGATACTGCACCAATGCACCCAGTTCATCAGTATCTGTAAGCTGAGTCTCTCTCTGTGTTTCTCTCAGTGTCTCTGTCTTTATATCCCTGCAGTCGTCAGTGGCAGCGAGGTCTGCTTCTTTTTCCTTCATCAGATATTCAACCTCTTTCCCAAACTGCTGCCATGGGACCATTTAGCTCCCTGTGTTACTTATACTGTGTATCAATCGGTTTACTGGGCCATGGTGTCTTGTAAACCTATGGTGTTGACTGACTGCACTGTAAACCCCATCAGATTACACACAGTGTAGGAAATAAATCCACCTATAAATGCTTGTTGATTTACAGTAGACCCCAGTTTACAGAGTGAGTTATTTTATAAAAAGGCTTGGCACTTGGTCCATATTTTAGATGAGATGTGGAAGTTGTATTTTATTTGACAAACAGCTCTCTGCGAAACACTGCAAGCATTTTTAATATCTTAAGTAAAGCGATGCCGATTCAGCTCGTCATGTAAAAGTTTAATGTGATACAGTCATATTAAAGTTTGGGTAGGCAGTTTTATCATGGCGTCACTGGGCAAAGTTCCCATAACATCCTTTCATCATATTGTAGTTTAAGTGGACTGAGAGGAAACTCCTCCTCTTGGCTCTGTTTTCAGGCATTAGAAAATCTAGTGTGTGATGGAGACTTTGGCCGATCACAGGTCATTTCAGAGAGAGGGCGTTCCCGTTGGCAGCTCTAAAAATGATGTGCGTGCACGTTCATTCAGTGAAAGCCTGATTCAATGGTGGAGAGTCCTGCAGAGAAAGATGCTCTTCCAGTATTGGCAACAACTCTTTACACTTGAAATCTAAAAAAGGAAGACCAACTTATCAAAGAGAGAGTCAAAAAGAGAGTCTGACAATAAACAAAAAAAAACACCTCTCGATATTGGCGAAGTGTTTCAAAAATAGGGAGTAGCAGTTAGGGCTGCCCCCTAATAGTTGACCAAACCTTAGTTGACCAGAAAGGTCATTAGTCGGCAAAATTTCATTGGTCTCTTAGTCGCAGAAAAAAAACAAAAGTGAAACTCTGTTGGGAGCTACGCCTTGTCAAAATAAATCAAAACCTGTATGAGTGGACCATGTGGGAATTTAATTTGAAAGGACAGACACAGAGAGTGGCCATGCTCAACAGTCAGACAGGAGTCACATTACAAATCAATCACAGCCGACAGATATCTTTTCCTTCTTCTGTAAATATTCAGTCTGATAAATACGGAAAAGCCGATCATGTTACTGCAGAGCTACCCAGAGCTTTACACCTGTCCCATGGACGATAGGCCTACACACTTACAGTGCCCTCCAAAAGTATTGGAACAGTGAGGCCAATTCCTTTATTTTTGTTGTAGACTGAAAATATTTGGGTTTGACATCAAAAGATGAATATGGGACAAGAGATCAACATTTCAGCTTTTATTTCCAGGTATTTACATCTGGATCTGATACACAACTTAGAAGATAGCACCTTTTGTTTGAACCCACCCATTTTTCATGAGAGCAAAAGTATTGGAACATGTGACTGACAGGTGTGTTTTGTTGCCCAGGTGTCTCCCAATTACATTGATTATTCAAACAATAAATAGCACTGAATGTCTGAGCTCAGTTTCAGATTGGGTACGATAGGTTTTGCCTGTGCAGACTGCATTTAGAGGTGGAACCAACATGAAAACCAGAGAGCTGTCTATGGGTGAAAAAGAAGCAATTGTGAATCTGAGAGAAGATGGACAATCAATCAGAGCCATTGCACAAACATTGGCCATAGCCAGTACAACCATTTGGAATGTCCTGAAGAAGAAAGAAACCACTGGTGTACTAAGCAACAGACGTCGAACAGGTAGACCAAGGAAAACATCAGCAGTTGATGACAGAAACATTGTGAGAGCTGTAAAGAAAGACCCTAAAACAACTGTTAGTGACATCAGCAACAACCTCCAGAGGGCAGGAGTGAAGGTATCACAATCTACTGTTCGCAGAAGACTTCATGAACAAAAGTACAGAGGCTACACCAGAAGATGCAAACCACTCATTAGCAAGAAGAATAGGAAGGCCAGGCTGGAATTTGCCAAAAGGTACAGAGATGAGCCTCAAAAATTCTGGGAAAAAGTTTTATGGACTGATGAGACAAAGATTAACTTTTTCCAAAGTGATGGAAAGGCGAAAGTTTGGAGAAAGAAAGGATCTGCTCATGATCCCAAACATACAAGCTCATCTGTGAAACACGGTGGAGGTAATGTCATGGCTTGGGCTTGCATGGCTTCTTCTGGGACGGGCTCTTTCATCTTCATTGATGATGTAACACATGATGGCAGCAGCAAAATGAACTCAGAAGTCTACAGAAACATTTTGTCTGCTAATTTAAAGAAAGATGCAACCAAACTGATTGGGAGATCCTTCATCATGCAGCAAGATAACGACCCAAAACACACTGCCAAAACAACAAAGGAGTTCATCAGGGGCAAGAAGTGGAAGGTTTTAGACTGGCCAAGTCAGTCTCCAGACTTAAACCCAATAGAGCATGCATTTTACCTGCTGAAGAGGAGACTGAAGGGAGTAACCCCCCAAAACAAACAACAACTGAAAGAGGCTGCGGTGAAAGCCTGGAAAAGCATCACAAAAGAAGAATGCAAAAGTTTGGTGATGTCAGTGGGTCACAGGCTTGATGCAGTTATTGAAAGCAAAGGATTTGCAACTAAATATTAAGTCTCATTCACTTTAATCTATTTTAAGTTTATATGTTCCAATACTTTTGCTCACCTAAAAATTTTGTGTTCCATTACAAATAATGCTATCTTCTAAGGTGTGTATCAGATCCAGATGTAAATACCTGGAAATAAAAGCTGAAATGTTGATCTCTTGTCTCATATTCATCTTTTGATGTCAAACCCAAATGTTTTCAGTCGACAACAAAAGTAAACGAATTGGACTCACTGTTCCAATACTTTTGGAGGGCACTGTATAAACAGCCTCTGGAAGAAGATCAGCTCTGCACTCAGGATTTTAGGTAAATAGACTACACGATGCTTGTTAAGGTTGCTTAGCAACCTCAAACACAACCTGCCACTGCACCCTTGAAAGCTGGCACAAAAAAAGGCACAAGAGTAGCACCCAGCGCCTGACCTCGCGTTTTCCAGGCAGTTAAAGATGCGGCATGTGTACGGCCCCTAATTTCCAGGGCTGGTACCTGCGGTTATTACACAGACTAGTTAATAACATGTCGGGCAGGAAATCCAAAGTGTGGGATCATTTTGAGAAGGTGAAGGACGAACCCAAGGTGATTCATTGATTACAAACATGACGTATCATCTGAAACATGGAAATAGCTACATGCCCATTAGCCACTTAGCACAATCATTACTGCTTTGCCGACAGCGTCATTAACAGGCGGCTCGCTCAGTGTGTGACGTGCACTTGTAGATAAAATATAGGCCTATATTAACGAAGGTTCATTAGTACGGTTTTGTATTTCTCTGTAATGTAGCACAGTGTTAACAATGTTACTGATACTATTCTTTCTCACATCTTCAACTCAAACCATTGTGTTGCCCTGCCCAAAATATATCATTTAATAATTAGATTAATACCATAATTGTGGGTGATTAGTCAGCTAATGGCCATAAGTGACAACTAATGGTCGACTAGGGAAATTCTTAGTCAGGGCGGCTCTAGTAGCAGTCCACAGCAGCAAGGAGCGAGGCGAAGGGACTGCAGGTTGGCTAGTTAGTTCATTCTTGTCTCATGTGAGGTCTGATAAGCAGAGAGAGCGCTCTATAATGAAATAAAATGAAATAAATCAATTTGTGGGACACACTGGGTTACTGTATGAAGTGCATGGTCGTCTGGTGGGAGGGGCATAGGACAGGGGAGTGAGGGGAGAGCTGCAGGAGGAGGGTGTATTTTCAAATTATGACCTTTTTGCCCTTTCCAGAAAACTGCATACCCCATCTTTAACTATATAATTTCTCAAAAATGTAAGTGCTTCACAATGACTGAGCATATAGAGGTAGATGATTTTGCAGCAGAGGTTTGAGAAATGTATTTGGCTGTTTCGACCCAAGCTGATCATTGCCTCTGGTCAAACTACTAACTTTTTACGACCAGGGGCAGACAGTTACATATTCAGTTTTGTGTCGGGCATCACTTCACGCTGACCCTGTGGCATCTGCAGATCATTTGTTGAACCGATGCAAATAAAGACGCTGAATACATTCTCAGAGGCGGGTGAAAAACTTCACACCATCACAACGCTGTTACTTGACAGACTGTTCGACCATACTCTCTGCAGCCAGATGATTTATACAAAACAGTACTTTAATGAGTCAGTCATAACAGGATACGTCTAACGATGATACATCTCCGCATCATCAACCCCTCTATCGCACGTTCCACTGCAGGCAGGAAATAGGAATGAATCCTCAGATGCCTTTCTCAGTGTTTTTGTGGGATCATTAATGGAATAGATGGACAGCTTTATAGACACATGACAACTAAAATACACAAAATTCCTCTCCATGTGGTTTGTTTTTTCTGCCTGAATTCATCAATAAACTTGCATGGGAACAACGACTGATTAAGTTAATATTTTACCATGCGACCATCCTTATAAAATAAATGACTTCATACCAAAGCCACACTCTGTGGAGCCCCATTTGACCGAGGGAAAGTACAGGAATTATAAGTCTTATCACTAAAATAACACGGGTCTTGTTGAAATGCATGCCTTCTTTTTCCTGGATGACATCACACTCAAGTAGGGACTGTACGGCGTTTCACATTTCCTCGCTCTGCTTTTCCTTTCGGGAGAAGTCAAAGCCCAGGGAGTGCGACGTGCGGCCCAGCTACACCCATCAGCCATTTGTCGAAGGTTTCTGTGTTGATTTTCTTGAGATGTTTTCTAGAAAGTCATTACTGAAGCTGCAGTTGGCTGTAAAAACAATAGCAGCTCTCCTCTGTCACGGCTGTAATTTTGCACGGCCAACCACATGGCTTGGAGACGGTGAGGTCAGCCCTCCCCACACAATGCCCCTTTCAGGCTCGCTGTCAGTGAGGTCTTTATGCTGCTCTCGCTCGGTTCTGACACGTCTCTAGTTTCCTCCTCGGGGTATCTATCTCCCCCTCTTATTATTTTCTGTTACTTCCCTGCTTCTTTTATTCTGCCTCTCTGTGAGTTTTTCTTTTCTGTTTTCCTTTCACTTTTTCTTTCTGTTAGGCTCTTCTCTTTCCCCCTTCCCTTTGCTCTTCCTCCAGTGAAACACAAGATCCCGGCCAGATGGGAGTTCTCATAAATTCCAAGCTGCGTGTCACACATTTTGTCTTGGAAAGAGAAAACTAATGCATGCACGGCCAACACAACAGCCGCTGCTGCGTGCCTCGGGACATGCTGCAGCAGGGAGGAAAAATCCTGCTTCAGGAGAGCAGAACTCTAAAGCTCATTGAGTCATTTTTAAAATTAAAAGGATTTATGATGTTTTACTTCAGTGCAGCCTTTCTCAGCACGTCCTTGTTAAGTGTTACATCTAATTCAGATCTATGGTGGAGCATGAAAGCCTTTAAGTCTCTGAGCATTAAGAGAATAATGAGTGAATCTGAGAGAGCAGTGGTGTGACTCTTATTAGAGGAAGCCTTTTAACACAGGATGTTATATCATCAAAGCAGCAGAAGCACACCCTGCCATGATACAAGTGGGAAAACAAGTTTGAGTATTCAGCCAGTTAGTGTTTTATTACATATTTACAATATATTCCAGGTCACGGACCTCTGCACACGATTCTTTCCCACTCTCTAGTTCTCTCTTATACATTCCGTTTCTCTCTGTCCCCAGTCCTCTTCCTCCCAGGAGTTATTGCACCAGTTGCCCTTCCAGCCCACGCAAGATGATCTCCACTTCCTGTTCAAACATTTCCGGAGCACGGAGAGTGTCGCGGACGAAGAAGGAGCTCATGCCTTGCCCCCTGTCAGGCTCCGCTCACGCAGTCTCAGGTAGCTTGGAGTTCTATCATACACTAACTATACTGCACAAATGTACGGACTACACAAACATTTCTGTGACACTGTGCTTCCCTGGGAGAAGTGATGATGTCATCAGATTAGTTTGATTTGAATGGATGGAACAAAAAGAAGATGACACACTTAAATATTTCTGGCAGATGTTTTAGGTTAATGTGAAAATCAATGAGTTAGTAGTATTAATTCATGAATTAAAATTATTTCAAATATTACGTACTATTGTGACCAGGTTAAAAATAAGAAGTGTGATTACACTGCAGAGGTGCCAGATTTAAAGGGCGGGTCCATCTGCGTTCTTTTCCGTGTTTTTCAAATGGAATCTTCTTCTCAACCATTATTAAAAAGCAGTGACGTAGGTTACAGCGCTGATAATGCCACCCCACACACACACTGTTCGCTGACAGTGTTGGCATGGAGGGTGAGAGAAGTGTTAAATTGAAAGATTAAAGCGTGGAGGTGGAACATGGTGCTATTAAACCTTTATTTAACACATAAAGACACAGTGAGATTCAATTTAGTACTGCATTTGCACTGTATAAACACACGCATAGCTCCATAGTCATTGTGATACCTACACTAATTGGCGATCAGCTCCCAGTATGGAGGAGCAGACAGGAGTATAGGGGGCACAGAGGCTAAGCAATTTAGCTCACTACTGTGGACAGCATGGTAGTTTGGCTCTGAAAGTCACACAATAACACAAACTAATTGATCAACAGAAGTGGTAGCAAGCGATGAGAAGTAATGCTACTGTTTCTGTTAAAACAGTCGGGTGGCTGTGGATGGGAGCAGCAGCAGATGTATATTACCCTCCTGTAAAAAGGACCATGAAAGAATTTCAATCAGGAGAGACTCGATTTTATAGTAAAAGAATATCGAGATCGAATCGAGATGATATGATTTAAGGAGGGTGAGGGATCCGTAGTTGAATAGGGCATCCCTTCCGGTTCGAGACGCTGGTGGTGATAGAGGTAGGGGAGATGAGAAGATGTGGAGAGGATGGAGAAGTGCTGATGTTCTGGATGAGTAGAGGAATGAGCCTTCGTTGAACTTGTCCTGGACTCTGGATACGATGGCTGGAGGTGAATGGGGTGGAGGAAGGCCAATGACAGCAGCAGAGGAGAAAGCATTCTGATTGGCTGATAGAGATTGTGGTGAAGTTTCATTGGATAACTAGAGGTGAGAACACCCATAGTCAGCTGATAAAAGGAAGCAATGGGAGTGGGAGGGAGAGAATTGTGAATGGATGAGCTCAAAGAAAGTCTTCCTGATTGAACTTACGCTGAGCTTCATTAATAATAATATCGGTTTAAGTGTACACTATATTACGATTATTTTATCACTTTACTTTCCGACAGGGACCTGAAGCAGATATCTATGCTTTCTTCAAAATAGTAATTTTACCTCACAGCACACAGGAGTTGCTTGTCTACTATCGACTCAATCATTTACTTTGTTTGTGACCTTCAGGACTAAACTAGTGTGGCACCTACAGCAGTATATGAGTTTATCTGTTAGCAACAACATCATGCAGACACCGGCATCACATGATTGGTAAAAAGTTTTTAGAAGCACTTGAGAATTTTTAGGCTTAAACATACATATTTGACTGAGATTTGAATTTTTTGGGTTTGAATATATCAGGAGCACTACTGGAAAGCCACAGAAGGATATAAAACCGCAAAAAAAGGAACAAGGAACTGCTCTTTCAGTCTGTCAGTACACCAGCAGTATGCTAAATATTCTTGTTTTTTCAAGTGTGGTGTTGATAGACACTGTTTTCTCACAATGCAGTGCACAGCGGAAATATAGAGGAACTGATCACATCTAGTAAAATTAGAATACCAGCCTCACACTTGACTTAGTGTGGCCAGAAAGAAGCTACATCCGACTCTGACAGCTGAGTTAGTTAACTAACCTTTTCTAGTTTAAACAGCTCACGAAAGCCTATAATTCAAAAGGTAACTGAAAAACTAACCTGTTGAGTATTGCTGCCAAGAATGTAAATGGAAGGGGAAAAAAGAAGTCATGACATTTATAATCTTTGTTCCTGAACCAGAGTTTCTTCTCTGCCATGTAAATTTTCCTGTAAGCTAACATTTACTTGTCAGTTCTTTGGCCCAGCCAAGAGGTATATCTAACTATAACTGCAATACGACGCTGAGCTGCTTTTGCTCCGCTGTGTGTGGAAACTTCTGCTGCACTAATTGAAGATGCTGGCTGTGGAGCTCACATAAACACTAACACCCCCTCCAGAAGCTTTAGTCACACAATGAGCAGCAGTGACAGACACCCTACCTCTCGTACATTTTCCCTCTGTTGCATAGCTGCTTACCCAAATATGGATTTAAAATAATTTTATGAGAGACAAACTGTTATCAGCATTGCAACCGCCGGAAAAAACCTGCAGCTAGTATCCATGTGCTCCCTACCAGCAGAGCTGTAAACAGAATGTAAATAAGAAATATCTCATTTGGTGAAATTGCCTCTCTCAGCCTCAAACCAACACAAATAGGCCGGATGCTCTGTCTTTCATGTGTGATTATAATGAAACACTGGCTGTGAGGATTTGAATATTGTGCGATAATTATTTTATGTGGTTCTGGTGTGGTTATGTGTGCTGGTTTCTAGCGATCCCCTGGATTAGAATATAGCATTTCCTCATCATTTAGCATGGCTGCTCTCATTAAACACTTAGACAAGCCCTCTAAATAGCTCTTGTGGCGGGGAGTTTTGAGGTTGCTGGAGATTTATATAATGGGTGGTGGAGGGTGTTGGCAGCATCTTGATGTGGTTGTTTTTTTCTGTGACGTGTCCTTGCCTGTGCCACATTTATATGTATATATATATGTATATATATGGCGGAGAGGGTTCTAGATACTCTGTGCACTGCTCTTGGTATGCTGAAGTGGTTTTTTTTCCTACTTAAAGGAAAAAGTCACAGTTGAGACTTGTGTACAAGACGGTCTTCATCGTTTAATGAGTCAAACATCTTAGGTTTCTGAATTTAAGTTGATGAGAAAATGTTAACAGTCCAGTATAAGTCAAGACTTTTACAAGTCAGTAGGCTTGTTAACTGTCTGGTTTGGTTATAAAAGTTTATACCCGCAAATGTATATCAAGCAAAACAGCAGTTTCTGTCAGATGATCTGTTAATTTGAGCCCTGATCAGCTGTTTTCAGATTGAACACGAGATTCCACAAACTCACATCTAAATGACTGCACGTATTGACGATGGAAATGGATGCCGGACAAGTGTCTGTGTTGCTCTAAAATAGCTCCAGAGGGTGTGTAAAGCGTTTCTTATTGCCCTCAAATAGTTCCCAAGGGGTTAACTGTTGGTATTGCACTTAAATAATTCACTGCTGTGCAACGGCAACTGTCGTAGTAACCCAGAAATAGTAAAGTGCCTGTCACATGTTGATATTGTTATTTGTAGTATGTGATATATAGGGGCACCCAGGCTCGCTATTTTTAACGTTTGTGATGACAGTACGTTGATTTGCAATGTGTACGGACAGTTTTAAAGGTGCTGTCTCGTAACTGAAGCCCTGCGCACACAACAGATGTGGTCATGGATACTGCAGAGGAGAACTTGATCTGAATCACATTAGTGTTATATTCAAACATGCTGTGTTTATGACCCGGGATGGCTGTAAACACCTTCAGTCAAACATTTACTTGTAAGAAATGTAGTTTCTTTGTAGCTTTAATAAGACAGTTTTTGAGCTTTACATTGTTTTACAGCTTCAGTATGTCAGTGTTTAGCATTTTAAAGGAGCGGTATGCGACATTGAAACATCAATATAGCAACCATTTTGCTAAGTTAAGATATAGAGGAGTAATGGCGTCCTGAGCAGAGAATGAAGTCCTGCTACCTCTGTGTGTGCTGTATAATGAGCTTCTCTGTTCTTTGTTGTGGTCAACAGTTCAGCCACGTGTTAGTATATGTCAGTTCCTGTGTGTGTGTATCCTACTGGCTAGCTAATTGCAGCCACTTGCGCAGGCTTATACGGACGGCATCTTCGCAAAATCATGGCACCTTCCCCCAGATCAGTATGCAAATAAGTTCCACTGTGTTTTTCCTGATTTAAATGTAGCATCCATGACTTATTAACTTGATCTGTTCAGTAGTATATTTATCGTAGGTTGTAGCTCTGATCCATTTTTCTGTTTTTCTCTTTTGCCTGGTTCCCCTCCAGCCCTGGACGGACCTGTGGAACATTTGACAATGAAATTGTCATGATGAATCATGTCTACAAAGAACGCTTTCCTAAGGTAAAGTCAGTTCCTTGCTGTCTTTTTATCTGTGTTTGCTAAACATCCTCAGTTTGTTAATGTGTCTCCATGTGAAAAAAACAATCTATCAGGAGCTTTTTTACACGTGGAAATCAGGACAGGACATTTTAACCTGCCTGGCAAAGCTAAAATCTTCACTTGTTCACCTGTGGGCTAATACTAAAAGGAAATTGTTCATATAATACTTCTGTCACTGTTTTAAATGAAGTCTTCCATCTTGGTCGTTTCCCAGGCGACAGCCCAGATGGAGGGTCGGTTGCTCGACATCATTGCAGAGTGTTCCCCAGGCACTGCTCTGCCCCTGGCCGATGGTGTGCTGGGATTCATTCAGCACCAGCTGCTGGAGCTCGCCAGAGACTGTCTGGACAAGTCCCAGGAAGGCCTGGTCACCTCCAGGTACTTTGTGGAGCTGCAGGAGAAACTGGAGAAGCTGCTGCATGAGGTGAGTGTTTTTCCATCTGATCCCTGGACAACATGCACACAGCTTTGCTTTTTATGATCATTCGACCCTGCAACTGTTCAGCTGGTGTTTGTTCCCTTTAAGACATCATCAGTGGATCTCTGATTGTTGGTAGCTCAGACTACCCTCTGGGACATTGCAGGCTCTACTGTAGCTTCACTGGGAACATTGAATTGAAATTGCCTGTATGATTGGTTCCCATTCAGTGCTGTTTCCAGTTCATTGTTCAGTAATTGTGTTGTCATTTCATATCATTACTTAGATCTGTGCGGTGGTCAAGTGTTTGATTACATAATGATTTATTACATAACCTTTCCAGCAACAGTTTCCCTGCAGCACATGCTGCCTTCTACAATACAGATAACAGCTTCTGCTACAGACTCGAATGACTTTTCTCTTTTCAATCAGGAAGTTGGATGAATTAATATCGAGTTATCAAGCCATTTCCAGCCACAGTTAGTACAGTGTGCAGTCTGTCTCCTATTGGCATAGTTTATTCCACAGTACAACAGGGAAAGACATCATTTTGTCTATAATTTCCACCAAAGCCACATTTCTGTAATTATTCTCCCATCTTGCCAATAAAATGATTTTCCAGCTTGGAGGGAGTTTATTTTTAGCAAATGTCAGTACTGTCACATGTTACAATGTTTGTCCCAGTGCTCGCTCATTCTTCTCTCGAATTGTAATTGCTGTTTCGTAACACTGTTTTTCTTGTCTACTGCAACTTTAAAAACAAATCATGTAACAGGTTTGACAGGGTAAGACACAGAGCCTGTTACAGATTATCAGCTGTCTAACCTGAACTCTGACTGACATCACTCTTAGCACCTCTGAAACACTGACTCTGAACATGCTGTTTGACCAAGGCAAGGCAGTGTTAGTCTAAGATATGGACACAATGAGTGTTAGTAAGAGTTTTTTTTTCTATCATTTATGAATCTGGCAAGGCAGCAAACGTAAACGATATTGATACAAGATGTTGAAATGCCAGCCCTGATTTGTTGAATCGCCAACAGATAACGTAAGAAGATGAAATGGATGCTAAAAATAACTCAAGCCAAAGTGCAGACAGCCTCTGTGCGTGCTGTGTGGCTCATACCAATTGGATTAAGTCACAATAATAATTAATCATCCTTTGTCTTTGCCCTTTCAGGCATATGAGCGTTCAGAGAGCGAGGAGGTGACAGTCATCACCAAACTGGTGAAGAAGATTCTCATCATCATCTCCAGACCTGCCAGGCTCCTGGAGTGTCTGGTAAGCCTCACTGGCAGACACATTTGTGATCATGGGTACAGGAGTGATGTAATATCATCATGATGCTTAAGTGCCTTGAGCCAAATATCTGTCCCTTCAAATGCAGATGTCACAGGTGACTCACATGCATTGATTATAGGCTGTAGTAATGATAGTTTCAGCTATAATAATAACACAGTTGCATCTTAGGATAAGCCAACAACAAATTTACCTTTCTGGACAGAATGATGTTTTGAAATGTAGTCCGTAATCCATTTAAAGGAATACTTCACCCACAAAATGACCCTTTGTACATCAGCTACTCACCCCGTTGACTGTGTGATGAAACGTTTTTCTCACACGCCTCCACGGTGAACGAAGAATCCAAAAGTTCTTGATGACTCCCCAAACACATGCATTTTCTAAAACCTCTCTATTTGTACTCATGTATACCTCTGCATACGAGTAGTGGACCTGGGCATTAAAGATCTGCCTGTGTGTCCCATTAAGCAGGTTTCAAATGCACACTCTTGCCCATGCACTCTACTCGTCTGTGCGTACGACTGTGTATGCACAAGTGTTTTAAACAGTAAGATTTTAGCGAAAATGTATGTGTTTAGGACGTACTGAGCATATGACTGGATAAATGATACTTGGATGAGTAATGTATACACACATTATCATTTTGTAGATGAGGTATTGCTTTAATATTGTCTGTTTGTAGCTGATAACTCAAGTTCACAAGCCCTAAAGAAAAACAAGTTGGAATTACTCCTTCAACTTTTTTTTCTTGCCACCTCTGTCATCACATTGCAATTATGTTTCCTTTTATTTCCTGCTGTGTAGTTTGCAGCTTTTCTGTCAGGGGACTGTGTCTTTCTTGTGCAACACTTTTTGTAGTGACAGCTTTTTTTTTTGCTTTATAAAAGCCAAGGCCTACTAAATTGTATTTAAAATGGAATAAAACCACAACACACCCTTCCTCTCTCTTTTCTACAGGAGTTTGATCCAGAGGAATTTTACCAGCGTTTGGAGGCTGCAGAGGGTCAAGCGAAGGTGGGCCACGGCATCAAGACTGATATTCCCAGATACATCATCAGCCAGCTTGGCCTCACCAGGGATCCCCTGGAAGGTGAGGTCGATTTATCCATTTATTATGCTAGTATTTTTCCCACTAAACTCTCAACGTAGACATTTTAGAATACTTATGTCCTGAATAAATAGTACTGTGTATTTGGACTGGATGTGCATGACATGAGCATTATTATTGCAGTAGTTGTTCATGTCCTGTTTATTTTACTGAGTCAAATGCATGTGCCCTAATTTATCGAAATTAAATCATATGTGATTTCCAAAAAATATACTCTCTCTTGATATGAGAACTTTAAAAAATTAACCTACATGGAGAACCAGTATTGCTAATGGTGCTATCTCTGCTGCCATTTTAAAGTCTTCTCTTTTTATTGTTATTATGTATGTATTATTTTTTTTGCCCTAGAACATTTTGTTTTGAATGAAATCGAGGCACCTCCTTAAATGTGTCATGGCAACTATCATGCATTGCACTTTACTCAACTTACCACTTCCCTCACTGTATTGTCTTCATACAAACAGTTTTTATTTTTTCTGCTCTTAATGTGCACACTGTGGCCAAGTTTATGTTGATTTTTCCTAGTCTCAGTTCATACCTTAGTGTCACTGAGTCCTTTATTGTTCAGTTAAACAGGTTGTGTTTTTGGTCTGTGTCTGAGTTATGCTCTCCTCTGTCGACTAACACTGAAGGCTAGACTGACAGAGGAGAGCATAACTCAGCCGAATTGGAAAATTAACAGGACTCAGACATTATAAACTCATGAAAAAGAAAAAAAATTAAAATACTAACAAATCCACTGTGGGTACCGTGACAGCTGCAATTTTGTCAAGCATCATTAGTCGGGTTGTATCATTGCAAACAGTTGAATGAGCACTCGCCGTCCTCACTGGTGTTTATCTAAGCTGAATGGAGCTTGATGTGTGTCTGCTGCTGTTACAGAGATGGTCCATCTGGAGCAGACGAGTCCGAGTCACAGAGCGGTCAGCAGAGAGTCTGATGACACCATAGATACAACACCTATACAGGTAGGCAGTTATAAAATAGTAATAATGCATTGTAATGTGACTCTCAGCTTGATAGAACAACTAGTGATGGGTGAAGGAGGGATGGGACGATGCACAGTATCCTAGATTGTGATATAAAACACTCATAATAACTTGATCATGGTGAACATCTATTATCGGGATGATCATGAATATCATGTCCAGCAGCACCCAAAGAGTCGGCTGGGCAACCAACAATAAAGGAGACTCTGCAAAAACAGGCTGCATACGCACTAGAGGTGTTGCAGTATGCTGGTATTGGCAATAACTGTGATATTTAAGATATGAAATATTGATATCATGTCATGTCAATAATACACACATTATAATATCATGTAAATAATGCAGTGCCTCACTGAAAGGATTGCTTGGACACAGTTGAAGTTTTGAATAGAGCGCATATACAGGCAGACTCACAATAAAGTTGTGAAGTTCAAGGATTTATGCTTTTCTAAAATAATGCGGCAGCTAAGTTCCTGTTATTGTCCTTCTCCTTTTGGTGTGTGTGTGATTCAGAGCCGAGCAGCCTGCACCCCTCCTCGTAGGAAACCACTGGAGAGCGACTTTGAGACTATCAAGCTCATTAGCAATGGCGCCTATGGGTGAGTAAGACAGACTTCTTTGTTTGCGTGCGACTGACTCAGTCTCTTTGTTGACACCACAGAGAGCCCAATAAAAGCAGAAAAGAAACTAGAAATGAGGATGTGTTGTTGTAGTACTTTTGTGTGTACACTTTGAATTTGTCTGGGCGACTTCATTTCAAGTCTGAACTGATGCTCAATAGTAACTGATAGTCCATACCTATCATTCCCTCATAAACTCTCCCTTCTCTGTCTGTCCTGGAATTTTCCTTCTTTCTCTTCTTCTGTCCTCCTCCCTCCCTTCTCATGCCATGCAGTGCTGTTTTTCTGGTGCGCCACAAGGAGACCCGTCAACGTTTTGCCATGAAGAAGATCAACCGGCAGAACTTGATGCTGAGGAACCAGATCCAACAGGTGTTTGTGGAGCGAGACATCCTCACCTTCGCTGAAAACCCATTTGTGGTTTCTATGTTCTGCTCTTTTGAGACGCGGAGGCACCTCTGTATGGTCATGGAGTATGTGGAAGGTAAGATTTGAATTTTTAATGCATATGTCTGTATTTTTAACAGTAATAAGCTAATGTAATATTCTTTAAAGCTACAGTAGGCAACTTTTGTCGTACTTGCTTAAACTGTCACTATATCCTGACAGTCATGATCCTCTAGCTCTTCCCAGTGTTTCGAATTGCATTTGCTAGAATCCAAAGCACAAACAAAAACACAAAAACATCCAGTCAGAGCAAGGAGGAGTCTTTATCATGCAGTGTCAATCACACGCTGCACTGCCAACAACAGCGTTCACGGCAAAGACAAGTTAACAAAAGAAGGCTGAAGACAAAAGTAGGCTAAAGAGAAAGAGTAAACATCGGAGTGGCTTTTCCGTGATGGAGAGAGCTACGGGACCTGAAAGGATTCAAAACTGATGCCGGCTTGAGCTCAGATTAACTCTCTAACTCTTTCTCTTACTTTTCGTCGTTGGTTTTCTTCTGTATTATTGTCTTTAGCATGTATACTGTTGTTGCCAAGGGGGGTTTGGCGTGTTTATTTCATTGATGGTGGTTGTTTCTCAGCTGTTCAGTTTGCCAAGCTTCTCCTGAAGCTTGAATAATTGAGCCTGACTGTGTGAGCATGTGCACGAGCAGCAATTGGCACTGCATTAGAGACTCCTGGCTCTGGTTGGATGTTTTTGTTCAGGGGTGTTGAATACTTGCAAATGCCATTAGGAACACTAGGAGGAGGCAGAGGAACCTGATTTTTCCACAGCTAATTTGTCTCATGTATGACTGTTAGGATATAGTGACAGTTTTTTTTAAACAAAAGTTATTAACTGTAGCTTTAAAATCTTTATTTGTCCACACACTGTAAACACAATAGAGTCAGAGAGATACAGAAAGCCTAAACAAAGCATCTGTCTCTGTACTTAAAGGCGGGGACTGTGCCAACCTATTGAAGAACATCGGTCCGTTGCCTGTGGACATGGCTCGAATGTATTTTGCAGAGACTGTTCTTGCTTTAGAGTATCTTCACAACTACGGCATCGTGCACAGAGACCTCAAACCCGACAAGTGAGTCCTCATTTCACATTTTTCCATCTCTGCTTTGGGGCTGCACCTAATTATTTTCCAAACTTTCGTCATTTTTTAGACATGCCATCATCTTTAAAAGCCTGGCAGTCTTTTTGAAGTCGGAACAGAATTTTCTGAAACGTTCAGCCTTTGATATTTTTCACTGAGTCTGAGATCTGTGTCTTGGGGTTAGCGTTTGATGTAACATGAAACATTTCCTTCTTTTTTTCAGTTTGTTAATCACCTCCATGGGACACATTAAGCTGACAGACTTTGGGCTGTCAAAGATTGGGCTAATGAACATGACCACCAACTTGTATGAAGGACACATCGAAAAGGATACCAGAGAGTTTATCGACAAACAGGTTCGTCTCTTCTCATCTCTTCTCTTCATCTCGTCTGTGGGTTTTATGACCTTATCTGACATCAGTCTTTGCTGTCTTCGTATGTTTCTCCTCTCTGCAGGTGTGTGGTACTCCAGAGTACATTGCTCCAGAGGTGATCCTGAGGCAGGGCTATGGGAAGCCAGTGGACTGGTGGGCTATGGGCATCATCCTTTACGAGTTCTTAGTGGGCTGTGTGCCTTTCTTTGGAGACACACCAGAACAGCTTTTCGGTCAGGTGGTCAACGGTAAGAGCATTTTGACTGAGTCATCACATGCAGCTCTTCCACACATAAATTTTGCATGATACATGTTGAATGTTTATTTTAGTCTCCTCAAGTTCATGCAATGCTTCTGTGTCATTGAATCGCTTCACTGCTTCCCTGGTATGTGCTTCTTTATCCAGATGACATCATCTGGCCAGAAGGGGAGGACGCTCTGCCAGCTGATGCCCAGGACCTTATCACCAGACTGCTGAGAACGAGCCCTCTGGAGCGTCTCGGAACAGGTTAGTGGCAGTGTGAATGATGACAAATGGGTAGACAAGGCCCACTGGAGCAGGGATATTCAACTTGCTTTGCCTTGGGGACACTTTTGCAAAACAACTAAGGACCAGTTAACAAAGAAACATTAATAATAAGCATATAAATAATTACTCCAGACCTCTGTCTGGGAGTTCTGGGGTTCGGGGAATCCTCTGCCTGGCATTTTCTTTATAAAGAAGCCCTATTTTTATGTTTTTTTTAATGCACTCGGGCACCTTATTTACATTGAATCAGTTTATTTTCACTCATTTTTGTCAATTAGAAAATGGTTGTCTGGCCACCCGGCACCCTATCAGGCTGTAAGTTTAGTATTACTGGTCTAGAGTATGTCCTGCTGGGTCCCAATGTGACCTTCTGCTTGTCAAAAAGAGGCACAAACAGATGTCTTGTACTACTTACTAGTCAGTGCAAGTCATGTGTGGAAAAATATAAACTTTTGAAAATATTTAAAGTTGCTCTTTCACCTTAAAAGACCACATCCCAGCTCTTTACTGGCAGCTTGAGACATTTTTGTGGCTGTATTTGATAGAAAATTTCCAACACATACTGACTTTTATGCTTACATCAAAGCTGTAATAACGAGGGTTAATAAGGCAACATCTGGATCGAGGCAGAGCTGTGGTAAACAACACCGTGATGACGGGTGGAAGCTCCAGAGGCTGTTGACTCAAGTAGGTCAAAGCTCATGAGAGGAGGGTCGTCTTGTCATTTTACAGGATGTTCTCACCACAAAGGGAGATATCAGTGTATCAGGAGAGACACTGATTGGCTGAGGATGACTGTAAACTAGGCCATAGATGTGCAGATATAAAAGCCAAATCTGTTTATCTGAAATTTTTTTTTGTTTGTTTGTTTGCTCTTCAGGTGGAACCACTGAGGTGAAGGTGCACATGTTCTTCCTGGGTCTGGACTGGAATGGCCTCCTGAGGCAGAAAGCTGAATTCATACCTCAACTCGAGACTGAGGAGGACACCAGTTACTTTGACAGTATGTGACAGACTGGTTAGATACCTGGACAGATTCACACAGTGCTATTTTGAGTATGAACTCACCTTACTACGGTGGAAACTGCTTTTAGTGATCATGTTTTTCCGGGTGAAATTGATCACTATAAGCAGATGACTATTATAAAGCTTTTTGTCTTTTGTTTTTCATGCAGATTACCATCTAATTTACATTTGTATATTTATTACATTACGGGGCATTTTGTGAAAGGGCCCACTTCACAAGGGCAGCTTCAACCACACGTGCTGTCCCTTTGCACATTCGTTTTCTTTCTCCATCACTTGTAGTCATAAGCTTTGAGAAGATTACATTTTTCACCGAGAGAAAATGAGTTTCCTTTTTCCATCATAATTTCAGTGTGCACACAGCAGCAGCCTCAAGTAGCATGCTAGATGCAGACAGGTTACCGTGAGGCAAAGTATCATGGTCGGAGTAAAGTAAAAAAAAAAAAAAATCCAATTACCATAGTTTTAAAATGCTTTTCCAAATGTTGTCATGTGTGAAAAGACCCAAAATGAGCACTGTAAGTCTCTGTCTGCAGGCACACAGACACACCTAGACATATATTTGTTATTAGCACAGAAGGATGCAGTACTATGAGAACAGGCTGTCAGAGTGTTGATGTTTTTGGGCAGAACTGGGGTGGTAGTCAGGATAAAAACAGGGTCATCAGTTTGTCATTATTTGATGTGTTGTCATTGTGTTTCCTACAGCCCGATCAGAGCGCTACTGTCACATGGACTCAGATGACGATGATGAAACTAATGATGATGAATCATCTTTGGAGCTCCGACAGTTCTCCTCTGTGGCGCACCGCTTCAGCAAGGTACTGCTCTGCTCTGCTTACTGGTCTTCACCTATAGATTATTTCACATATATAGATACATCATTAAACGATGTATTACTCTTTGAAAAAACAGCCCTCCAGATATCTCACCCATTACCTCCTTAACCTCCAGGTGTACAGCAGCACAGAGCACCTGTCCACCTCCACGCCGTCCAACCAGAGTCTGTCGTCGTCGGAGCGAAGCCACAGTGAGGAGAAGGAGGAACGATGGGAGGGCAGGGGAGTCCTCTCCCCTGGCGATGGACACAAACACTTGGCTGGTGGAGACAGGAGGGCAGATGGACACAGAGGGAGGTGAGAGCACGAAACGCGAGAGAGTGATGTCCTCATTATGAGAGGGAAAGAATTACAGCCCTCGTTCTCTCCTTGTTAACTGTCAGTTTTTAGAGAGTGTGAGATTGAAGTGTAATATTCTCTCACAATAAATATGAAGCACTTTATATTCAAACTAAGCATTTTTTATCAGAAGTTATAAATAGTCTTTTTGGAATAATACAATAGGTCATTCTAACCTTCAACCAGGTTTGACTCTCTGTATGGAGTTTGTTTGTGTATTGATTTGGGTTTTCCCCAGGCTCTGACTTCCTCCACCTGACATGCAGTTCAGGTGGAGACTTTTACATTGCACTTAGGCGTGAATGTGAAAGTGTTAGGTTTCTTTCCATTCAGTGCGCACTGGGAATAGTTCCAGGTCCCCCTCTGACCCTGAATAGAGCACAGAAAGAGGTATTTAAATACTGCAGTTCTTATGGGCTGTAACTCAGTCCTCAGGAAACAGTTAGTCCTCCATCTTCACTTTTAGGGGTTTATATATCCATGTGTACCTGTCCTCATATACAGGTTTAACACTTATATGTATATCTGTGTTCACCTGCATACCCACATGTATACAACCTACATACCTGTGTGTACTTCAATTCGTCAGCACTTTTCGTGTTTAGTTTTCTTACATATGCCCCTCCCACACTATTATAAGTGCAACTCTTTAAATCGGAACCAAGGAAGTTCCAATTTCTACTATTTCCATCAACTTACTCATAATTCAGTGTAAATATTTCAGTGCATATATTTCATCGGCCAAATTGTGAAAGAGATTCTTATCCCAGGTTTTACTGTGTTTCTTCGCAGCCTGCGTCCTCGTGCTTCATCCAGCTCCTCCCAGTCAGAGCGCAGCGCCAGCCCACTGGTGATGAACAGCACCCAGAGCCTTGACATCATGCCTCGCTTCGCCATCTCTGCTGAGGAGGAAGGTAAGACTTGTAAACGCACACTGCTGTTCATTCTCTTCTGCTGTTGTTTTGCAGTGAAACACTCACACATTCTGTTCCTCCTGATTCTAGACGGGATGGTCTCCAACCTGCGCCGCATTCGGCTCCGGAGCAACAGCACAGGCACCAGGCCGTCCTTCCGAAGAGGGGCGTCCCGGCGCATCGCTCACCAGCTGGAGACCCCAGAGAAACCCAGATCCCCAGCTGGAAAAGTCCCCAAGTCTGCCTCTGTGTCCGGCCTGTCCCTCATCATCACCCCAGGTAGACCGGATGATAGTAATGTCTGATGTCTTTGTGACTTACCGGTTTGCGTTGATGCTGGTATAGATTCAGCTGCTCACTCAAATTCCTGTTATAGTCATGTTTTTCTTTCAAACAAGTCTTTCAGAGGCACTGCTGCAATCTGTCTATATTTGCTAAGACTATTTATGTGTTTACAGTGCCCCCTACAGCCTGATGCTGTGTAATTTACACAGTAAACAACCTAGAAAAACTAACACAGTAGACAAAATGAGAATAATTTCAATTGACTTATGATGTTTTTCCTTTGAAATTCTCAATAACCTCAATTTTAAGCATTAGATGTAGTTTTGTAAAATACTAAATGATGCAAAATGTAAGAAAATATCAGACACACTATCCACAAACACTCATCAGATGACCTTTCTGTTCTTCTCCTGATCCAGATGACTCAGCAGGTCCTCCAACAAGCCCCAAATCGTCCTTGTCCCTGTCATCCAACCCCTCGTCCAGAGACTCATCCCCCAGCAGGGACCTCTCTGTCAGCATCAGCTGCCTCAGACCTCCTGTGGTCATACACAGCTCTGGGAAGAGGTTTGGCTTTGCGTTGCGGGCTATCAGGGTCTACATGGGAGACAGTGACGTCTACACTGTGCACCACATGGTCTGGGTATGTGTCCTCATCTCAGGTGTAGCTGCTTGTGTATAGTCAATGAATTTAGAGTAACTATTGAACATGCAATTTCAGTTTAATTATGTACTGAAACAGCTTTAATGGTGGTGATATTTTCTTGTAGATGACCCTAAAAGTCAAGACTATAGAGACTTAATAACTGCAGATAATCAGCTCTGTATTTTATAGCTTTTATGTTTGCATTTTGAGTTATCTGATGCTGTGTATAAAGGTGTTAATGTTCATATTTGTCATATTTTTCACTGAGTATGTTGACCGAAAACATTGTTTGTAATAATTGCATAGGTGAAACACTGTCAGTCATGGAACAGCTGATTAACTGGTTGCTCGACCGGTAATTTTAGTCTGAGGTTGTGTGTGTTTGTGTCCACAGTGTGTTGAGGATGGCAGTCCAGCACACGAGGCAGGATTGAGGGCTGGTGACCTCATCACTCACGTCAATGGGGAGTCGGTCCAAGGACTTGTCCACACTGAGGTGGTGGAGCTCCTGCTCAAGGTACGAGGATAATTTAAATTTTAAGATATTTTTTCTGCATACATATTGTATATTTTGATTAGAGTCTGTTTTAAGTCGGGAAAAGTCTAAATGGACTGCTGAGTCTTTCTAACACAAATACACGTTATATAAGTGATAATATATCATTTTGTGGCTCAACACCTAACAGACAGACAAACTGAATGCTTAGAAGCAGGTGTTTATGCTGATGATGTGTTTTCAACAGAGTGGCAACAGGGTGACCCTGCAGACTACTGCTCTGGAGAACACGTCTATCAAGGTGGGCCCTGCCAGAAAAGCGAGCTACAAGGCTAAAATGGCCCGACGCAGCAAGAAGAGCAAGAGGAAGGACGGACAGGACAGGTACATGAGAGGAGAATAAAATTATTTGCAGCAGCAGCATTACTGTTTGACATTTGGAGCTCCTGTCTGATGTTTAGTATCAAGCCCCTTTCAGATCAAATATTGGCAATGAGAGACGAGTCTGCGCTGGTCTACAACATTCTGAGAAGCCGTCAGTTTAGACCAATGCGATTGGACGAGCCCCTCTGTACTTCCAACCTAATTTTCGGCTTTTGAGCAAGGAAACTATACGAGTAACGGCTGAAAGAGTAGCCTAACATGACTTTGTTTTTATGTGTGCGACATGCACATGTACACAGCCAGCAGCAGCAGCGATACACCACCTGATAACGACACACTGTGAGGACGGAGACCGACGTGCATGTCAGTGGCCATGGAGATGTAAATGAGCCAGACTTGGGCTCGGCAGAGATGGAGGGCTGTTTTCAGAGAATGCCACAGCAGGCAAACACGCTGCTGCTAACAGTTTGTGACTGACTTGACCAGCTGACTTGCTACAAGCCGATTGGCTGTCGAAACAGGTGACGTGCCTTACGTTCTAAAACTAGCCGCTGGTGAGTGGTGACTTGACGAGATGAGTTGCAGCTGCTGGCCGGCTTGAGTCGAGCTTAGATGGGCCAGTTCACACTGCTGCATATTTTCTGTGCAATGTTCTAAAACGTTTTCTTCTTGTTGCGAATTTTTGGTCTGAACTGGGCTTTAGATTTTAGACAGACAACTTGGACTTCATTTGACAGGGACTGTAGTTAACAGTCATACATTTCCAATTTGGCTCATTGGGAGATACTTTTTACACTGAAGTAAACATGCAAAGAATAAAATTATCATTAAAACACTCACCTGACATCTCTCTTTCTCTCTTGCGCAGCCGACGACGTAGCATCTTGAAGAAGCTCTCTAAGCACACTCCTCCTCCGCCCATGCAGAGCAGTCGTAGCTTCTCTTCAGGTTTCCACCAGTCATCCAGCGACAGCCTCTCAGGCTCTCCCACGCAGAGTCTCTCTCCTGGACCGTCTACACCTTGTCGCTCTCCTGCTCCTGATCACTCCGGAGGTGAGTGAGGATGCATCACTTACATCCCAAAATAGGAGCGATCTCTTTGTTGATGCTATGCTGTGACAAAATATCTACTGATGCTAAACTGTTTCATTTCTTCCTCTTTCTGTCAGATTCAAGTTCCTCTCCGTGCTCCAGCTCCCCTAACTCGCCTGTACCGCAGGCCCGTCCCAGTTCCCTACATGTCTTGGGTCGCTACACCAAAGCTGGCCGCTGCAAGTCCACCAGCAGCATCCCTCCTTCTCCGCTGGCCTGCATCCCTCCTCCTCAGCCCCTCTCTCCCCAGTGCTCTCCATCCTGCCTCCCCAGTCACCCCAAGTCCCTGCAGGGTTTCCATGGCAAGACATTGTCCCCTCCCACTATCACCCGCCACTCTGTGCGTCCCCGCAGTGCAGAACCACCTCGCTCACCGCTCCTCAAGAGGGTGCAGTCAGCGGAGAAGCTGACAGGAGACAAGACGACAGGGGGTTACCATGGAGACAGGAAGGCCTACAGCACCCGTCGCCACACCATGGAGGTGCCTCTGTCTGAGGGAGAGGGACTGGAAGACATGGAGGGGGACACCGCCACGGGGTTCGTCTGTGTTGGTGAGCACGGCCGTCAGGGTCTGTACATAGGAGGGCAGAGAGGTCACCAGGACAGTGGAGGCAGCGAGCACTTTCGCGCCTCCGCCTCACCACAACACCGTGGCGGCAACCACCACTCCAAAGAGGTGGTGGTGATGAGGAAGCTGGCGCTGTCGGAGCGAAGGGACTCCTTCAAGAAACAAGAGGCCGTGCAGGAAGTGAGTTTCGATGATTTGGAGGAGAGAGAGGCGACGCCAAGCCCGACACTTCCTGCCACGCAGCCAAAGTCATTCAAGGCGTCCTGGATCAACTCGGCCCAGTCAGAGTCTGCTGTGAAGCTGGAAGGAAGAGGATCACAGGGTACAACAACACAGCAGAAAGCCAAGTCAAAAGACAAAGAAGGGTTTTAGTTTAGTGATGTTTCCAGGGACTACAGGTCAACATAGTCTTTGACCTGCTACTGTACTTAGATTTGAAGGCCTTGCATGTGTGTCCAGAAAACTGTGACCAAGTCCCAAATCATCACGAGCAAACCGCTTGAAGATGGAAGAACAAATTAACATTGATGTTTCTCAGTAATATATGCATCCTGCAACACTGTTAACGGAATACTGACTGCCAAACCAAGTTTACTTCCTAGTTGCTTGTTTTCTCTCTTGGTTCTCAAATCACTGTGGCACCTGTAACTGATGTACTTTGTAAATACGGTTTTGTTTTAAATGAAGAAACTTATTTATGACTTTTTATGCTCATCTTGTTTTATTAGTTGCTGAAAATGCCTTGGATGCTTCAGCTGTTCTTAGGAAGGAATTGCACAAAAGAAAAGCCAGGCAAAAACTTCTCAGTGTGGTTTCACAGCAGGTGCAGAAAAGGGCATCAGTCGATATCGTACATTTTTTTCTTTTTAATACCTCAATGCCTGTCAAGAACTGGGTGTTGTTTCGTGTTCAGATTGGGTCTTTGAAACAAACTTACAGTGTTTGTCCTGCGACGTATAATGTATTATAACATTTCAGAAGATACTCTGTGCTGCCTCTCTATTATACATCTTCTGGTGGCGACCATTTTGGACTCATCGATCCTGAACACAGGCCTTGTATAAACGTTTTAAAAGGACAAAAATATCAACATCTCAGAAGCCTAGCTGTGGTGCCAAAGGAACCATTTAAAAAGAGGTACTGTAGTTGTACATAAGAAGCTTCATGCATGCATGGGCTCTACTTCCACTTCCTGTCTGTCCTGTAAAAAAAGCGTGTCACTCCTCTCACGGTGATTTAAACCATAACCTGATCAACACACAGGTGTGTAGATAAAGCTTTGTGACCACCTTCCAGAAACCAGGCTGTCATCTCTGTCCTCTAATTAATACCTTGTTGAAACAATACGCCTCCGTCCAGCTCCTTACAAACCTAGTCTAGCTGAAGTGTTTGCACAAGTTGTCGTAGCCGTGTAACAGTTAGAGCACATTTATATTTCAGGACGACTTCCTTCTCCGTGAGATTCAGATATTGTACAGTGGATGCAACAGACAAAAACTGGCTCCCTTGGCTGTTTTTTTTTAATGTTATGAATGAATGTTTACATTTTAGTACAGATACGTGTGGTTTTTGTTAAATTATTATGACAAAAAAAGACAGGGAATTCAACCAGTGGCCCTGAGTGGATGAAGGAACGAGTTAGAAGTGATCTCCTTTTGTATATTTTGATATGGAAACAGTCTTGTTGCAGTACTAATAACCTATGCTGTTGATGTATATTGTATAAACAATGGTGGACCTTATAACAGCTGTTGATGGTGTCTTTTTGAAAGTGACCTTGTAAGGGTAGATGGACTCGGATACATTGTGTGTGGCAGGGTCTTAATCTCATGTTGCGATCAGCCTCAAAGGATTGTGCATGCTTCACATCCCAGTATGATATTCCCACAATTTTACAACATGGTTCCTTTTTTTTTTTAACTTAAATTTTTTATTTCATCCAAAGGGCCTTGAATTCTGTAATTTGATGTTAAGTCGCTGATTTGAGCTTTAAAATGTGAGTTTTGTTAAGAGATGTGAACATATGGGATTTTCAGTTCTTTGTTTTCTGTTCCTGTTCCCATTTTGAAGAATCTTTTAAATTTCTGTCATTGAGGAACCAAAAACACTTCCGATCTTATTTCAGATTAATTTCTTCACAGAAGAAACGTTTGTCTTGTGTTCTTATGAAGGCACACATTTGTACTTTGCTGTTGAGGGAACTGTTATAATGGATGTTTAGCACATACTAAGCCTTGAGCGGTGGTTTTAGATTGAACTAGAAGTTTGTTGGTTGTACTTTGGGGGTGAAACAAAAACTGTGTGTCTGTAAGATTTATTCCTGAATCTATGATGCAATATACATCTTGGTATGTTCTTAGAAATGATCTTTTTATTTCGTACCCCAACCAGACAGTCATAGCATCTCTTGATGTTAAGTTGTATCATGTTTGCCTTTTTCTTAAATCAAGACTTAATTTTGTGGAGATGACTATGACGACTCCTCTCATCTCTGTTGTGTGTGTGTGATGAACTCCATGTCTTCACAGGGGTGCTCAACTGTCATCCTCCAAGAATTCCACACTTGTTTCAGTGTGTTTGTGTGTGTTAAAAGTTGTTGCTCCCGATTCAACCCCGTGTCCCCAAATGACAAACTGGCCTTTGTGAAATTCCTACCATGTGGGTATCTGATGCATACTGGTGTGACATTGTTTTTTTATTGTCTTAACAGTGCTTTAAATAAATGCATTGCAAAGGGACTAAAAAGTCCGGGACTACAAAGTGTTTGCTCTCATTATTCCTCCCTTATACAGCAGTTAATACAAGTTTGTGGCACCATCTTTCTTCTGTGTAGTTGTGGTATGGTGTAGTTTGGTACTCTACACTGATAAACACCTGTAAATACTACAACAATGACTACTCTGTGTAGTAATAATACGCTAGGTATGATAATTGTTTGACTCAGTCTGCCTTAGGCACACAGATAAAATCCAAGTTTTGCTTACATTGTCCCTTATACGCATTCATTATCCATAACCACTTCACCTGTTCAGGGTTGCGGGGAGGTGGGGTGGAGCCTATCCCAGCTGACATTGGGTGAGAGGCGGGGTACACCCTGGACAGGTCACCAGACTATCACAGGGCTGACACACAACAGGCAATTTTAGAGTCACTAGTTAACTTAATCAGCATGTCTTTGGACTGTGGGTGGAAGATGGAGAGCCTGGAGAAAACCTAAAACTTGACACACAAGGCCACGTTTGTGCCACCAACAGCTTGTTTTGTGGCAACACACCACCATCTTTCCAGCTGCATTTGTGCCCCACAAAGCCTGGTGCTTTTTAGCGACACACCTCTGGACACACCTCCAACTTTTCAGCCACGCTTATGCCACCTCAACTGACCCCTTTCAACACCAAGGAGCAGCGGCTCTACTCTGAGCTCCCTCCGGATGTCCGAGCTCTTTACCCTATCTCTAAGACTGAGCCCAGCCACCCCACGGAGGAAACTCATTTCAGCCACTTGTATCCGTGATCTTATTCTTTCGGTCACTACCCAGAGCTCATGACCATAGGTGAGGGTCGGGATGTAGATGGACCAGTAAATTGAAAACCAAATCCAAACCAAATTATGAGGTAACTGCCCAACCACTGGTAGCTACTGTAGTACAAAGAGTGAGAAAGTCCACAGAAAGCAGGTGGAAATGGAGGTGGATGGGTCAAACAAACTCCAGTCTTTCATTTCAGAGCCCGCTGTTAGTTTACCGTGTTAATACAAAAGTCAGTGGAGTTATTTTTAATAAAAACATAGTGTGCTAGTATGTGTAGCATGCAACACTAGTGATGTATATCACATGACGTGACATTATGTTACTGACAAGTGACCGTGGTGTTTTTCTCCAAACCTAACCAAGTACTTTTGTTACCGAACCTTGTGTGCATGTAACAAGAAGAAACTGCACATGTCCTGTAAAAAATGAAACTGTATTGTGAAAAGATTCAATGCATGTAACAAGTGTAAACCGACATCCTGTCAACATCCAAAACTGACGCAGGAGGGTACCAAGCGCGCCATATTTTGACACGAAGGGCCACTTACAAAGCAGAGGCGATTGACGAGTTGGGATTAGAATGTGTTGGAGCAACATGGCGGAATAAGGTGACAGAAACACAACAATTCTTATTTTCAGGAGATTGTACACTAATAAAAACATAGCTATGAATATTATACACCATTTCTAACAATAGATGCCCCTAAATCACACACACACACACACACACACACACACACACTGAACCTTTAAGGGGTCATAGGTAATACAAGGTTGATATCACTGATATACCATGATGGTCCGGTGCACGCTGATGAACAAGACCCTGAGATACTTGACCCCATCCATAGCAGTGGATTGCTTATTGTAATATCTACTGTATTTAATATGCTGTCTATGGATAAGCACCCCATACAACCCCACTTATAAAACACTGAACTGTCCCTTTAACTGTCCACATGTAATTCAACATGGGATCAGACAGGAATTTAGCATGTAGTCTTTTTCATATGCGCAGGATTTATTGCAATAAAAAAGATCTTAAAGTACACGATTTGAAAAAGAAAAACAGTCTCTCAGATTGTCATGGTCACATTTCCACGATGGGCCGAGGCCATTCGGTGACCCCTCACTAATCGTTCGGGCGTTTCCGCTCGGCTTCGTCCCTTTCCGTGACTCCTCATATTCGTTCCCACGCACTCTCCTTCCCTGCGCCGTGCTGAGCTGGAAAATGGCTGTGTAGGGGAGCAGGGAGTCATGATCGGGAAAAGAAAGAAAGAGCGAGAGAAAGACGGCGAAGCGAGAAGTGAACACAAGGTCTGCTAGAAAGTTCATTGCACACCGAGGAGCTGTCGTCCGCACATACGCCACCGACACGGACCCTTGTCTGCTACTTTCAAGTATTTAAAGCGCCGCAGCCAGAAAAGTGAGAGGAGTCAAGAAATATCCGCGGGTGAGTTTTTCCAAGTTATTGCACATTTCCAGTACAGCCACTGTACTGGAAAATGGTGGAAGCGCTGCAAGTGTGCTGTGCGCACGCAGCTTCATGCTGTTGACTTGTGTCCTAGTTTGAAAGTTTAAAGATTTTGTTCGCTTTTATTATCATATTATATGTTGTTTTATTTTTCTGCGCAGTTACACAGTGTAATATTTACTCGTGCAGCATGTTGCTCGGCGCTCGCGCTCGTCGACAGTTGACGTGTATCAAATGCTGAGTCCGTTAAGTCGCTGAAACATTAACTTTTATTGACTTAAGTTGCTTTTGAGGTGAATTATTTGTCGTTTTTTTGGGTTTATTTCTGAGAATACTTTAAGAAGGCGGATTTTTAAACCAGCTAGCAGCTCTTAAGGTTGTCAGTTTATACAGGATTTAAACTCTGACTTCACAGTTGATGCTTTTTTAAAGCTTAAAGCTAAAATTTAAATATTTTATGTGTTGCTAAGATTTAAAAAAGTTGCTCTGCAAGACTTGAACATAACACACAAGCCAAACTGTGCAGTGGAGTGTAACAGTGGTAGTGTATGTGACACTATAATAGTGCCTTTACATTGCAGACTATAGGAGGCCATGCAGTGTGGAGGCCCAGCACAGCTAAAGGCCTGACATGATGTGTGTGTGTGTGTGTGTGTGTGTGTGTGTGTGTTACATCCCTGGTTTGAGGATTTGGCATGCACCAAGGAGTTAATGAAAATTGTGCCACTTGCATAATAAGACAAGCCACTCAACTGTGTGGGGACCCCTTCTTTTCTTTCCCTCCTGTAATTACTGAATCCAGCATTATGCAACTCAAATGTCAGTCCTCTATTATGCAGCTTCATCAATGTGAGGACTTGTGGCGAAGAAGCCGTCACTCTTCCTCTAAATGTCTTAAAATGTTCAGAATGACTCGCAGGGCTTTGTTGTTGTTTTTTTAATTTTGTGAAACTTCCAAAAGAAGTGGAGCTTTCTCAAAATGCCAAGTGTCACTTCTCAGAGGGGCCGAATGAGCTGCTGACTTCAAGTTCCCGCAGACGTAGTGGTTATTTTTGTTATATGTCCTTCAGCTGGGGGACCCAGTTAAACTCAAATGGTGTTATTTGATCAAAATAGCAGCAGAATACGGCTTAAAGGACGGTTTAGATGTGGCTTCAAGAGAAATTCTGCAGACGCTGAGCTGGGATTTGTACCCAGGAAAAACCAAACATCTGATTTTCTGAAGTTTTCAGGGAGATAAATGAGCCTTTTTTGGAGCCCTGGGCACGAAACACTGGGTGCAAATCTAGTTAGTCACTTATAATACACTTTTTGGAAACCTCTGTCCTGGATGTGACCAGTTGCTGTCAGACTCTGACAGGAGTTGGGAACAGACTTATTGGCAGTTTTTTCCCTCTGCATATTCCTATGATCCAGGAATAATATTCAGATCATAAAATATTTTTTCAACAGGGTTCCTGCAGATCTTTAAAAAGTCTTCAAAGGCATTGAAGTCATTGATCTAAAAGTAAGGCTGTATTGGCATTAAAATGTCTTCAATCAAACTTTCAAAACTCTTAAAAAAAATGCAAAGACATGGGAAGTGGGATTGTATGATTTTTTTCTGACATTACATCGTAAAATCTCAGAATCATTGGTAACATCTATTTATTTTTAAATAATTCATCAAAGCCTCTCACGTTAAAGTCACACAGATTGGGATAGCAGAACCAACAACACTCAAGTACACTATACCTCATATGCATTGCCTTGTACTGGTTTCAGTCATGCCTTGAAATCTTGGTTATATAACCAGTTTTGGTTGCAGTTCCCCATGTCGTTCGGGGTACAGAGACAGCAAGCAAGCAGATAGTGGATAATCTGCTCCGAGTACCTGAACGGAAACAAATGCAAAACGTTTTTTAGACTTGGCACAACGGGAATCAGGGCACTGAAATCCAACTTGGGGAGTGAGAAACACTATATAGCCAAGAAAGTTCACACCACAATTTTTGGAAAAAAATTGCTTGTTTTATGTTCCAATAAACATTTTATGCAAAATTTCCCCAAACCTTCCATGACTGATGTCAGTTCATCAGTTTTTTCTTTAATCTGGTTACATTGGTCTTGAATTTTACTGCGAGTGGCCTTAAAAAAAAGTCTTAAAGTCTTAAACCTAAGTCACCTTGAGCTGTAGGAACGCTGTTATAGTATGACAAGTGGTAGACTGAAAGCCAGACAGAATCATCAGTTGCTAAGTTAAGTTAGTTTGATTAATTTAACTTGCACTGAAATCCAACTTGTGGAGTCAGAAACACTAAATCTCCAAGAAAACTTGCCAACAAACACCAGATATTTTGCAGAATAAATGGCTTGTTTTATCTTCCAATAAATGTTTTATGCAAAATTTCCCCAATCCTTACATGACTGATGTCGTTTTTTTTTTTTTTTTTCTTCAATTCTAGTTAAATTGGTCTTGAATTTTATTGTGAGTGGCCTCAAAAAAAGTCTTAAAGTCCTAAATCGAAGTCGCCTTAATCTGTAGGAACCCTGTTATAGTATGTCAAGTGATAGACTGAAAGCTAAACATATGCATCAATTGGCAAGTTAAGTTAATTTGATTAATTTAACTTGCACTGAAATCCAACTTGTGGAGCCAGAAGCACTAAATCGGCAAGAAAACTAGCCAAGAAACACCACAGTTTTTGGAGAAAAATTGCTTGCTTTATGTTCCAATAAACATTTTATGCAAAATTTCCCCAATCCTTACATGACCAATGTCAGTTCATCAGTTTTTTCTTTAATCTGGTTACATTGGTCTTGAATTTTATTGCAAGTGGCCTTAAAAAAAGTCTTAAAGTCTTAAATCTAAGTCACCTTAAGCTGTAGGAACCCTGTTATAGTATCAGCATGTCAAGGACTGAACGCCAGACAACTACATCAGTTGTTACGTTTAATTAATCTGATTTAGGTGCCACTTAATTTGAATTACCTCAACACCAACGTGGTAAAAGTGGTTTCTTATTAATCTCTCTGTGCCACAGTAGGATTAGTATTTGGTTGTGATTGCTGTTTGTTATAGTAGAGGCCGCTATATGTTACTTGCATTCATGTTTTAGCCAAACAGAGTTAGTTATGAAGGGATTAGAGTGCAGTTTTATGCATTTTAATGGATGTGTGAGGGGTAAATGAGGTAAAGTCTGAGGCTTACTAACCATTTACTACATGCTAACTACGCAGCAAAAAGGTTTGTGGTATTTTTAGTGGTGCAGGTTTATCAGATTGCATATTTTGGTAGCGTTTTAAACTGGCTGAGACCTTGAATTTCCTGCATCTTATATCTCCTGATAAATACAGTGCGTCCTCTTTAACTGTAGAGCCTTGTGGTACAGTTGACTTTTCAGAACAGTGCCGTCTCAGTGCTACATAATCTTCGCAGCAGATGTTTCTACTTAGCGACGTGAGCTTTTCAGCTTCATTAAGGACAGATAGAATTCAGGTGAACATAACTCAAATCATAAAACGCCTAAGCCCCCATTTTAGGCTGAAAAATGAGTCCTCACAAGCTCCTGTGTTGTTGGCCTGTCCTCGCAGCCTGTGGCGCAGTAGATTTTTCAGTTCCATGTGGACAGATGGCCCGAGGCCAGGCTGCATGCGTGGTGGCTCTGTAGTCAGTTCCTCACCAGCAGTGCCGTGAAGGGCCAACGCATACACAAACTTTAAAGCAATAACCATGTGTCCACATGAGTATCTGAATTTTGCTCAATGCACATATGTGTATGGGTGAAAGTCACTTGAGGACAACAGAGCAGCCTTTCTTTTTAATAAAGCGTGAAAACTGTGTCTCTGAGACAGTAAATTTTATCCGTTTATCCTACATTCTCAGCCCATCAGCTCTTTTCTGAGAAATAATCACAACCATTCAGTGAACTGCTGCTGATTCTTGGACTGGATTTGCCAAGGCATGTTTCTCTTCAAACGTTTAAAAGAAAAGGTTAAAAAAAATTAGGGGTTCACCTAATTTTACACTGACCTACATACTGTGGACGTGACTGAAATTTAAAAAGTCAGGACTGATGATAATGATCGATGCGGTACATTGAGAAGTGAAAAGGTGATATACAACACCCTCAGGTCTTCAGAGAAACTTGTTGAGCAGCATTGGTAGCCGATGGCTGGATGATAGATCGACAGGAGAAATTAATTACATAAATACAGTGAGAGACGTCTCAGGTATGTAATTTAATTTTTAGACCCATAAATTGGCGAAGCTGATATATGGGCTAATATTAGCTTGTTCCAGATTTATTGTTGTTGGTATACGTGGGAACAGAAATGCCAAAGTTGAGGAAAGAAACTGTGTAGCTATTTAGTTTGTCCAATCGATCAAGTTCAACCCAGTCTCCAGAAGAAATTGTTGGCATTGTACATTTCTGCAAACCACAGATCCATTACATATGAATCATATCATCATCTGCGACCAACAAACCACAAGAGCTGTGGTTTTTTAGCGAGTCGTTGCTTTGTTTTCAGCTGCTTTTTAGCCCCCACACATGCAACATATAGCTATTTTTCAAACTAGGCTAGTGCCACTAAATGTGGTTATTTTTACCAAGACGTTGATGTGTTTGCAGCGGGGATTTGTGCCACCAAAGCTCGATGTTTTAGCCAAAACATTATCTTTTCCCAACCATAATCAAGTGTTTTTTGCCTAAACCTAACTACACGTCAACCACAGCGTTGTTGAAACGTAAAGAAATGTTAAATTTCAACTAACAACACGCGTGTTTTTTTTGGGGCCGGGACGCCTAGCGCAGATTATTCACTGTCTCCTAGCTAGCTGTCTCTGTACCCCGGATGACATGGGGAAGTGCAACCAAAACTGGTTTCATACCTGAGATTTTTGTGGCATGACTGAAACCGGTACAAGGCAATGCATACGAGGCATGGTGTACTTCATGCAAAATGTTTGCCAAACCTGGCACAATGGGAATCAGGGC